GAGCTGTCCAAGCTCCTATTTACTGGGGAGGGATTGCAACCAAATCACATTCTACATGTGATTTCATATGGTCACAGGTTAAACATGCTCAGTGAAAGATACAGAGATGGTGCTTGTCAGCATGTCTCATTACAGTGGAAACCTTCCACCCGGGGGAGTGATTTTTAGTATGAGAATGTTCCCTCTCACCCAGATCCACGCTATCTTTCAGCTTTGGCTGCATCAGCAAACTGTGGCTTATGTTTAGGGTCTCTCTGACATCAGCGAGTCTCCTGACCACATGCTATTTTTGAAAAGTTACCTTTTACACTTCTCTCATCTCCCTGTCTGAGGAACGTCATGCATCAAAACCACGCGATGACAATATTGGCGGAAAATTGAGACCCATTCCACCAAAACCACTTGAAAACATTGATAGTGTTAGGAGACAGAGACCCCACATCACTTTAATGTTTTATAAAAACATTTCTTTTCAAGCTAATGGGGTTGAAGTGCTAATAATATACATTTGGTGCAATGTGACTTTTTTTTTAAATTTTTTCCTGTCAGAAAACTATGTGCTCTTTGTATAAACAATGTACTGGCGACCAAGTCCATTCCCTAGAACCCTCTTGTGGATCTCACCCAACCTCAGCCCCAGTGCCCAAGGTGACCGCCTTGAGGTATTCAGGGACAAGACACTCACCTTCTTTGCCACAGTACTTCCAATACCCGCTGTAAGTGCTGTTTAATGAACACCACTTATGTTTTGTCAAGCTCTTGATGCAAGCATAGAACGTTCCATTATTATAGGTGAATGGAAAGGCACACCTGCCATCTAAGAAAACAGAGAAGAAAGAAATCTTCATGCATCTGTAGGGGCGTCCACTGAGACGTCACAGAGTGAGTCTTCTCCGAAGGACTGTTGCTCTCTCAAGTCAGAGCCAGGGCCTCTGGCTCTTCTGAATGCTGTCCCCGCACGACGCAGCTGTCGGTCTGGAACCACGAAGCTCTTCTCTGTGTGCTCCAACTGTTTCCTGTTTCCCCAGAGCACGAACGACCTCGTCTGGCTCAGCATTTGAGTCCAGCTCAGAATCTATCCCAAGCTTAGGAATATAAATGTGGACATTGACTTACAGGAAAATGATTTCTTTTTCTCGTCTCTCTCTTTCCTTCATCTTCTTTCAACTGTCTCTGTCTCTCACAGTCTCTTTCTCACACATGCGTTCTTCCTACTCTCAGTCACAGACTCACACACACTCTCACACACTCAATCTTTCACGTACACACTTTTTCTTTCACACACTCTCTATTCTCTCACATACACTCTCACACACACACTT